TTTAAGACTTTAAAAACTGCAAGGAAATCAACATGCTTCAGCAAATTAATTCATAAAATTTAATAATCATTGAAAAATGATTCACTGACTATAATTGTCACAGTCTTTGTCTGAACCATTCTGTCTTCGTCATCTTCACTACACTTCCCAGCATCCTCTTGTCTCCACACCTGAACTCACTCCCTTAATCATCCACCTGTTCATCGTCCTGATCATCTGTGTCACCTTGTTAGTGTTCATTTTGTATCTGTATTTAGTTCTCTCTGTTTCAGTCTGTGCATGGTGGCTCTTGATTATGTTTCGTGGATAGTCGTCCTCTTGGAATTATAAAGTTCTGACATTTTTGTCAAAATTGAGTTATCCACATATTCTTATTCTGTGACAACTTATTTACGCTATGTGATAAGTTTTGCTCAGTTACGTTGAAGTTGTGTTCATTGTGGGACTTTTTTTGTAATTATTGTCACGATGTAGTGTGGAATGAAGACAGGCTGAGGCTGACGCAAAGCTCCAATACAAAACATTTACACAAAAAACTCCAAACAGGCACAAGGAAGACTGGCAGAAGATTACACACACTATCCATGAAACATAATCAAGAACAGACTGAAACATAGAGAACTAAATACAGATACAAAATGAACACTAACAAGGTGACGACAGGTGACACAGATGATCAGGACGATGAACAGGTGGATGATTGAGGGAGTGAGTTCAGGTGTGGAGACAAGAGGATGCTGGGAAGTGTAGTGAAGATGACGAAGACAGAATGGTGCAGACAAAGACTGTGACAATTATATAGTCAGTGAATCATTTTTCAATGATTATTAAACTTTATGAATTAATTTGCTGAAGCATGTCGATTTTCTTGCAGTTTTTAAAGTCTTAAAATGTCTTAATTTTTACCATATTAAGGCTTATATGTCAAATATTTAACAATTTAATTAACTGGGTCTTAATTACAACAATAAACGTTTGCATGTTATTTCAGCCATATTGATGTCTAGAGAGAAAGCCATTTTACCTGGCCCACTTTAGCTGGAATAAAGTCCTGCTCGGATGTATTACAGTGGCTGCTTTCTGTCTATGCAAAAGAAAGATTAAAGTATAATTTCTGCAATAATGTGTTTAATTACCCACCAAATTGGTATCAAAAATGAAGATTATGCACTGGGGAAAATATTTAGACCTACCTTGCTTAATTTGAAATGTCCTAAATACATGGAAGTGCTAAAAAATATTAAATAAATGTCATAGAAAGGATAAAATTTTACTTTCTAACACATGTTGAGACATTGTTACAACATTATTTTTTTTATTTAATGTTGAAATAATGTTTTGGCAGATAGAACCTTATAATTCTAAGCGAAAAGTGTTTTTTTTTTTTAGAATTAGAAGGTTCTATCTACATTTGACCCATTCCGAAAATCCCCATTTACAAATTTGAGAGGATTTTGATATTGTATGTTTAGAATACATTTAGGGTCCCTGTTATTTTCATGTTTGAATGAAACTTGTTTCCCATATACATTTTCCTATATGTAATGCTTTGCGTCAGCCTCAGCCTGTCTTCATTCCACACTACACCGTGACAATAATCACAAAAAATGTCAGACTCCCTTTTTAATCACATACACTCTCTCACTCACTCTCTCTCTCACACACACACACACACACTTTCACAAACACGCTCTCTCTCTCTCTCACACACACACACACCAACACACTTTCTCACACATACGCACACGTACACACTCGCACACACATGGACACACACACACACACACACACTTGCATGTTGAATGGTTTTCTACAATATTCAATTTACCCTACTGCATATTTGTATAATTCAGATAATAATAACTGTAATAATAATAGTTATTAACAATAATCTCATTAATAATTAATAATAATAACCAATACACTATAAAGAAAATGACAAAATATAAAGTTAAGCCACTTCATAAGACTACACAATTTAGTGAATATTTAATTTACTGTAAATGTATAGCATTATGCCTTAATTGAGTTTCTTTATATGTTGGACCCGACATATAAAGTTGATTCTGATTGGTCCTCTTCTGTGCATTCCAAACTCAATTTTGACAAAAATGTCAGTTAGAACCTTATAATTCCAAGGGGACGATATGTCTACAACAGGAGTGTAATGCTGACACATTTTGAGTAACCCTCATCTCCTGAAGTCTCTATTAGGTGGGTTTCTTGGAATGAAAATAGAGACAGTAATTTGTGCCTGGAGGTGGTGGCTGTAAATTAGTAAGAGATATGCGGCAATTATATTTTCCTTGGATTACAACTTGTATTTTTATCAACGCTGGGTTTCTAGAGCTTCTTTTTTGCCATGAAGCCTTGTTAGTTTGGTTTCTGGTATAGAACTTGTGGCCATGTTTATTGAATGAAATACTAAATTGACATACTTGAAACTGAATTCAGAGATTTTTGAAAAGTGAATGTGTTTAAATTCATCAAATGCAGTGCTGTTGCTGCTTGGAATTGATTCACATTGAACAGTGTGATTGAGAACAGCATAATAAAGATGCATAAAAATTGCTGCTTTCTGTAGAGTAGTCATTTAAAGTGACGGTAAATTGTGGACTTCACTTCTCAATTAACACTTTATGTGCCCACCGGTGTGAGTCAAGTAACCCTGCATGTTTTTGTCTGTCATAGGTCACATATCTCATAAAACTATCAGTCAAAATACCTCTGACGCACACTCTCATCTCATCTCAAATGCAGAGTGCTAACATTTTTCAAGAGCTCTATTTCTCCTCAATCTCCCGTGATAGTAATACTATTCCCAGATGAGTTTTATCTATTCCATTTCTGATACTACAGCAAAAACTACTAGCCTAATGAATGGAAATGTAAAACATTTTTTAAAGACAGCAAGCACTACTGTAAGTAACAATAAGAACAACTAATCGGAAAAAAAACCCAATAGTTGTACTTTTTCAGGTAGGTCTAATAGTAGTTTTCAGGTAGAGAAATTTGGGTAACACTTCACAGTAAGAGTACATGAATACATGTATAAATGCATGCATGATTTATGCATTCATTCATGCTTTAATATCGCATGAATCATCAGGAACTAACACGAGTAAAATATTTTTCATTCGTGACATGATTTTCATGAATGAAAAACACCTTAATTGAAACATTAGATGAGCACATCAACATGAATAATGATTTATTACGTATGACCATAATGTTTTCTTTGTTTTTTTTTGCCTGAACTACTTTAAATTTGGTGTTGATTTATAGTGTAAGCTACGGAAGCCCTGAACCACAACGTGAAAAAGAAAAAAAATCTGTAGATTTTTTTTTTTTTAGCATTTTTGTTTTTCTTTACGTTGCAGTTCAGGGCTTCCGTAGTTAGCAGTACATCATGATAAGTTTATCTGCAGACAGCTTCTTATCAGGCATAACCATATTTGTAGCAGATGAAAAATAGCCATGCCTAGCAACTGAGACATATGATTGATTTATAAATATGCCCAAGGGAGGCCTAGAAAGGGTCTCGAGTCCTAAGACATCAACCCCCAACTAATGGATGTAAGGCTCCTCTTACTGCTCTGACAATTTCTGTCATGTTTGATGACTTATTGAATTATCTTTTCCCCTTCTCTGTTTACCCTGCTCTTAGGATTGCCTGTGGTATTTTACATGTGCATAAACAACATATTGAGACAGGTTATCATTTATTGGTCTCATCATCATTATTCATTTACATAATTGTATTTGTTAACGTCTAATTTAATTAACATTTAATTACATACTTATACAAAATAGTCTATATTGTGAAGATATTGTGGGTTGTTGTTTGTCTATTTAATTCATAAATTCTGACTTATTTTCAGCATTATATTTTCCCTAACCCATTATAATTAATTGCCTTCCAGTGTAATTGAGCAGAGTCGGTGGTTACAGCGTGATTTGAGACCAATAAAAATAAATTAATGGTGTAAAATAAAGATTGTTTACATTTACAGATTAATGTAAGAGTTGCATGTCATACATGTTGCTCCATGCTAAGAAAACAGATGGTGTAGCATCCTGTCATCATGATAATAGGGAACCACTTTTAAGGGAATAAGGACCATAATGTGAGTTTTTGGCCCAACAGATAATAACTATATTCATCCTAATGAGAACTTTTCACTATAAGTGGGAATCTACTGTAAAATTTTGCATCTCTACTGTTAGAAATAACATTCATATTGTGAAATGATATAAAAAAGCATTGATACAACTTTATTTAAAGCCTTTATGTTTAATGGTTTATAAAGGTATTAATAATGTATGTTATAATACATTATATCTTTTCATAAATAACTGCAAAAAGTTCAAATGCATTACATCTGAAATTGATTCTTTGTCATGTGTTTAAATGCATTATGCTTTCGGGGAATACAAGTATTATATACAATTATTCATAAGACCATACAATGCATTGTATTACAAGGGATAATTACATTAAAATAATTTATAATGCATTAGACTGTATATAAAGTCTTTAAATAAAACAATATTTTAGCCATTGACTATAAGAATCAATACACATTTTCTTGAAAAAAATGCTCTTATACATATCTAAATTCAATGAAGATGCTTTATAGAAAACCACACACACACACACACACAAAAATCAATACATAGTTATGGTCTGAGCAGACTTTTATCCATTGATATGGAGTAGTCCAGGGCCATCATTAACACTTCAGGCAACCCCAACCTGTGCTTATTGGACAGGTGCATAATCCTGGCATAATGTAGCATAATTTTTATAAATAAAAAAAAATGCATTGGCTACTTACTTTGTAACTTGTGCCCCGTGCTCTTTGTTCAGCTTTGAGTGTTGACTTCTCCTTTGCTACCCAATTTGAGATGGTCCTCAAGGTGTCCTGTTGCTCCTTCAGGGTGTTGGCTGAGGGATAGGCTTACCCTTGAGTGTGATGAGAATCTGTGACTCCTCCCTTAGATATGGGACCAGGTTGGAAGATGAAGCTTAGAGGGTCTTAATAACTATCCACTAAAAAAGAAACTCCAGCGCAGTGCAGCAGTGACAGCGGAGGAAGCTGCGTCCTCGCGATGTGAAAAAGGTAAGCTTGTGCTTCTCAGAATGATGTGTTGGAGCCTACTGATATTAAAAACGAATCATTTGGCGTTATAATTGTGTACCATTAAAAAAAAAATGCTGCATGGTTCACAGGAGACTAGAAAATCTAGTTTATATTGACAAAATATTTAATACTTGAAGTTTTAAATGAAAAGCCATTGTTTTGGAGATAAATGATTCTTGATGATTTATGAGTTGCATTAACTTTACTTAACTTGGCATTAACAATCCTGTGCTTGTTGGATACGAGTTTAAAGTTACAATGGTATGGTCAGGCCAGGGTGTTATGGCCCATATATGGATCAGAAGAGATAGAGAGGTCATAACTCATTGAAATAGTGACTCTTAAGTTTGACATATGCACATGGGCACATACATAACTACGCCGCAGGAGCGCAGTACTGATGTTACATTTGCCGAACACTGTCAGACCATTTAAAAAATGTAGTGGCAGTAAAATGCTCCAAATATAACATGGACAGAATGTTCAGGCTTTTAAGTACTTTAAGTGAGACTTTATGGTGACATCGGCATGCATTCATATGGAACTTCTGTATAATATTTCTCTCTTTTTGTCTCTTTCTGAATAGATGTGTTGAGCTCTTGAGAATTTTAAGACCATAGTATATTAGGGATCTGATTTTTAATGTGCTTTGTGAATTCATACTCAAGACTAGAGGAGTGGATTTATAATAAGTCACTTTGCAGGTACAATAACAGTCCGTACACAAGAGCACTGTTCAAAGAACTCGACTATTTTATTTATGTACACCAAACCATTTTTTAGCATATCTGAAGAATCAAAAACTTCTTTTACACTTTAGCATTTCCATACAAGCAAAAAAAATAAAAATAAATTAATGTGAGCAATCGAAACTTTGCACCTATTTTTTTTCTGTAGTAATTGATTTAGTGAAAGTGTGAACGCATGAAAGAGCAGGTTACATACACAAAAGAAAAGAATAAATTATTTAATAAATTAAATCGCATACAAGAACAATAAAAAAAACTAAGCTAACACTTTACAATAAAGTTTATTAGTCAATTACCTTAGTGAACATGAACTAAGTAATACTTCTACAGCATTAATCTTAGATAATATTAATTTCAACATTTACTAATACATTATTAAAATTGTTATTTGGTTGAATTTGTTAACATTAGTTAATGCACTGTGAATTTATTAAGATTTACATAGATTAATAAATATGGTAACAAACGTATTGTTCAGTGAGTTTATGTTAGTTAATGCACTAACTAATGTTAACTAATAAACCTTATTGTAAAGTATTACCGCTGAAGTAAAATAATTGTCAAACAGGATTAGGTACTGTAAGCATGGCGTATTAAAGGGTTAGTTCACCCAAAAATGAAAATTACGTCATTAATGACTCACTAAGCGTCTTACGCCATCACTGAACGTGGCTCGACAACAGAACCGGAAGACAATACAATGCTGAATAAAGTCGTAGTTTTTGTTATTTTTGGACCAAAATGTATTTTAGAGGCTTCAAAACATTCTAACTAAACCACTGCTGTCACATGGACTACTTTGATGATGTCTTTATTTGCTTTCTAGACAAGGACAGTATACCGTACTTTTTCAATGGAGGGACAGAAAACTCTCGGACTAAATGTAAAATATCTTAAACTGTGTTCTGAAGATGAACAGTCTTACGGGCTTGGACATGGGTGAGTAATTAATGACATAATTTTCATTTTTGGGTGAACTATCCCTTTAAGAATCAGCCAGAGTTTTTTCTTTATGTTTTTTTAGGTTTTTGTACTATTAAAAACAGTAAGACTATATAAAGTGTTACCACATGCATTTGATTCTACCATTTTTATCTAATAAGCCCACACAGTGTAGTGTTCGCACAAGCCAAAATCTTTCTTCAAAAATATGTAGGGCCTAAAATCCAAAAAACAACATGATGATTGGACAGATGTTTGTTTTGGCATCCTCCACACACCATGGTTTTATTCTGAAAAACAAATAAAGAAAATATGGTTAAGTTGTTAGATTCAATTTATCTAAGGTGTTCTGTATGAAATGATCTAAAACTTACTGAATTTACTTTGTAACGGTTATGAGTTAATGCTTAAATATTTGAAATAGAAGTGTTAACCAAGTTATTAGGATTTCTGAAGAAGATATATTTAGAAATATATTTAAAAACATTATATTGCATATAGAGAGTTTCAGTTTTCTGAGTGGGTTTTGCTGGGTTTCCTAAAAATTTTGCAGATCATGTAAGATCATTCCATACTATGACTGATCAACGCCTGTTTGAACATGTACGTAGATTTCTTGTTATTTTGTACAATGTAAGTCCATTGTTACCAGAGTGTACTGTCTCTCCAGGAGTTTGTCTCCCCAACTGTGCCTTTGGTTTACACGGTGACGGCGTTTTTGAGGCTCAAAAACGCAAAAAAGTGAAACCACCCTCCAGAGTGGAAATCTTAAAAATGCTCCACCGCCGCGTTCCCATGTAAACGGTAAAAACGCAAAAGTCTGCTTGACAGTCAAGGTTGTACGCAGGCGCGTGGACTTGGTGTTGTTGTAGGATGCACTCCTAGCCGCCTGAAGTGCATACTACAGTGAATTTCACATTTTTTTGCGTCTCCATTTGCACGCGGATTTCCCACACAAAACGCTCATCTAAACGCAGAATAAAAAAAGATGACGCAACGCCACTTTTGCGTTTTCTCTTCAGAATCGTTTCCGTGTAAACATAGCCTTAGTAAGGATCCTACACACAGTTTTATAAATGAGACCCCAGCTTAGCACACTCAGAACGTGTTCTCATGAAACAAGGGGCGTGGTCACAAGAAACAAGGGGGCGTGGTTACAGGAAACAAGGAGGCTGGATGGGAAAAGCACATGGCCAACACAAATAGAGACAGAACCATGAGCTCAAGCCCAAAATAAACAAGGAAACATTGAACCAAGACAAGGCAGACAGATGAGAACCCTGACAACATAATAAATAAGTTGGAAATTATGCTTAAGGGAAACTTGCCTAGAGATAAAGTATGACTTTTAAAATTGTATTGGAAGCTTTGGGAAACCCAGCTGTCCTCTGGTGCTTAATTGTGTAATTTTAATCCAGTGAGGCGAGTTCTTTTTGTAGAGCCTTACCTCTCACTGTGAGATTGGTGGAGCACTCAGCTCTTCCCAGCTGGTTCTCAGCGATTATTTTATACTCTCCCGTGTCTTTAGGTCCAACCCTGAGAATGAGCAGGGAGCACACTCCACAGGTGTTAGTTATTAAGTAGTTGGTGTCAGTGTTGAGGTTGACGTTGTTGCGGTACCAGGTGATGCGGGGTGCAGGGTTGCTTCTCACCGCACAGCTCATGTAGCACTCATAGCCTTGTGGGGCTGTGTGGATTTTCAGGGGGACCATAAACCTTGGAGGCTTCTCTAAGTTGCAGGTCTTGGACTCTGGGATGGTCAGTGTGAATTTTTCTGCAAGAGATGAAGGAGTTTGATTAATTTGATCTTCACATGTCAGTGGGTGGGTGATGGATCACATTGTAGTGTGTGTGCAGGCAGTGTCCACAGTAAACAGACACTGTACAACAAATTGCTGTTTCAAGTAAGTGTCCGTGCTGCCTTTAAATTTGTACGTTTAGTCAACTTGAAATGTGAAGTTGTACTTGTGACAACTTGGATTTTTGAGGTGACTAAAGGCAGCACAAACACTTATTTTTTTAAATGAAACATTTTTCTACAGTGTATGGTAGATTGTACAAAAGACCGAAGGCATATATGGCTCCATATATAACCTTATTACTTTTATTTACACTTTATGGGTAAATAAATGTGTTTATAGGGCAAACAGTATCTACAATGATTTGCACTCAGTATAAATATAAAAGGTTACATTTATAAAATGACTGAACATAAATAATGGTTGTAGTTTTAATAATCACTTCCTATATTACAAACCTTTCTTTCTTGTGATTAGCCATTTTGGTGACTCAGATGGGGCAGACAGACCAATGTCATTTTTGGAGTAGACTCGGAACTGGTATTCTCTCCCTGGCATGATGTTACAGGCTGTGAAACGGTTGTTGAAGATACGGTCAGCTACAGTGTGCCAGGTCCTCTTGGTGGAGTCTCTCTTGGTCACCGTGTAATGCAGGCGATCATCTCGTTTCTCGTCTGGAGATGGTTCCCAGGAAACGGTCACCGTGCCCGGAACGTTCTCGTCCAATTCTATGGGACCTGGGGGCTTTGGTTCGTCTACATCAAAATCAAAATGGATCAAGGCTATTAGATGTTCATTCCTATAGAGCAAGTGTGGTGGAGCATATTGTTTTATTTAACTGTCTACAAATCTATACTGCCATTTAAAGAAAATCCTCTGATCCTAGGCTTAAACCTGAAGTCTTTTATTGTTAGTTGTTTCACCGACAGCCGATTAATAACCATTGCTATAAAATTTGACCTCAGACGAAATTCTGCCAGTGTCTTAAGTCATTCATACTGTATGATGATTTCCCTTAGAAGTTTTCTATAAGCATTCAGTGACTACTATACTTACAAAACATTGATGTGATTGTTTAATTATGTCCAGCCCAACATAGCAACATGGTCTGACCAATGGTGTGAATTGGGGGCCTGGCTGAAACCACTAACAGACTGGGACCATTTAGGAACACAATTTTTCTTAAAGATGATAAAATACAAACAGGTTCCCTCATTTTACCTGTAACTCTAATCTCAATACTGAAGGTCTCTTGTCCCACAATGTTCTTTACTGTGATGGTATAGATTCCTGTATCGTTACGCTCTGCAGATGGGATCAGGATCTGAGAGCCCCCCTCAGCATTGCTAATAGTGACACGTTTGGACACAGGGACACCATCTTTAAGCCAGATGACGTCAGGACAAGGGGAAGCCTGTAAAAAAAAAGGAATATAGGACATGCATTGGACATGTGGACTAAGCAAAACATGGAGTTCTCTCGTATTGTGTAAGTTAGCTTACTCTATGGGAAAGATTAATCTTTTCGAGACATTAAAACCAAAAAATTACCCCTAATTTTGTAGTCATTGTCAATGCAGTACAGCAGCTAGCAGACCTAGAGCAGGCAGTCTAGCGTCGATTCTTCGCATCGAATTGATTCTGAGAGAAGCCGCTGCCGTCTGAGGAGCGAACATACAGCCTCGGCTAAAGCCGGCCATCTGCGGCGCTTTCAGCCATCCGTGTGAGCTACACTATCCGGCGACGTATCCTTTTTACTGAGCTCAATTCTGTGCATGTTCGCCGCTGCGACAACACCCTTTCTGAAAGAGCACGAGACGTTTTTCTAAAAACAACTCGCTCTTTGCCTAGGTGCACGGTGTAGACGAAGGGTTCCCGGAGCATAAGCGAACTTACGCAATACGAGAGAACCTCTCGTGAGAGAATGTATCGGTTACCTAACGTAACCTCGGTTCTCTCTAGAAGAGGGAACGAGCATTGCGTAACCTGGCGCGCTCGCGCTACGAATGACTTTCGCTTCAGCTGAATTAATACAAAATTAAAGAATAATATTTTGGCTTCAATATCTCGAAAAGATGAATCTTTCCCGTAGCATAAGCTAACTTACGCAATACTCATTCCCTCTTCTAGAGAGAACTGAGGTTATGTTAGGTAACCGAAACGTTTTCAAGAGAGGAGTTGGAAGGATCTGAAAAGTGAATGGGGAGGGAGCACATTATGGCTCATGAATATTAATTAGGCTAAATAAGTAAAGTAGTCAGCAAGTAGTCCCAAATGATTTGCTGATGCAAGTTGAGAGTACATTTTTGATCAGGGGATCGAGGATGTGGAACAGAATTCTACACAACAGCAGTCTCTCGCTTCGTACCACAGACAAAATGATTGCCTCCCAAAAAGTGACTTATAAGACTTATATGACATATTGATAAAGGTTGCTAAACCCCTGGGTTTGGTCTCTAAAAGCATGATTTTAGTATTGCTCATTACCTCAAAGTTGATAGTGACTCGTGCAGAATTTCCTGCCCTGACCACCATGAAACTCTTGATCTTCGAATCTGTGAATCTTGGTCTCACTGAGAAAAAACATTGCATTAATAGTGTGACATATCCGTACAGTGATGTCAAATGAGGGGTAGATCAATTTGCATTTCTGACCATATAGAGCAGTTAATGCTACTCACCTGGAGGAGGCATAGCCAAGATGTAGTTGTCCAGCTCTTGTGGCTCTCCCTCTCCACCTTCATTGGCGGCGACCACTCTAATCCAATACATGGCCATTGATTTCATTCCCTTTACAGTGTAGGTGCTCATGATGATGGCATTTGAGTTGCATCGATCCCACTCTGGGTTCTCAGTAGGTCTGATTTCGACAAAGTACCCCTTGGCCTCATCCTGAACCCCAGGGTCTATTTTTGGTTTTGTCCAAGACAATGACAAAGTAGTGTAGGTGGAGTCTGTGACTTTAAGGTCAATGACTTTACCAGGGGGTTCTGATAGGATATTGAGAAAAAAGCATTTGCATGAGCACATTTTGAAAGATTATAAAAGAAAATAGGGAGAAGTTTAAGTTAAGTTCAAGTTCAAATTAGCTTGTTATTCCAAAAAGCCTGACGTAAATCCACTGTTTTTGCATATCTTTGAGGGGAGGCCATGGTTAATTTTTCAAAATGCACAGCTTTGAGAATACTTTTGCTGAATCTTCTCTTTTTGAAGATAATGAGCTAGCTGAGAAATGACTTACTTTTTGGATCTCTTGCGAACACAAATTCTGAAGGGTGACTTGGTTCACCAGCTCCAGATATGTTGATGGCGGACACGCGGAATTCATACTCCATTCCTTCAACTACATCTTTTACAGCATATTTCTTTGCTATGGAGGGTAGTTGAAAGGTTGAACATTACTATCAGACAGTAGTTTACAGTAACTTGTGTAGAAATGTGAGAAACCAACCTTGGATTGGCTGGTCTATTGGATTGACTTGGCCCCACAAGTTGCTGCCCTTCTTGCGTTTCTCTAAGTTATAACCTAAAATACTGGTTCCTCCGGTGTTGGTTGGGGCAGTCCATGTCAGGTTGATGCAGTCTTTGAAGGCACTGGCTACTTTAGGAGTAGATGGCTGACCAGGATATGCTAGAAAGAAAGACATTTGGCAGGTTTTGACCTTCTGAAGTAGTCTGGATGGTTACTGATAAGCACAGAAGTACCTCAGAGATTTTTTTTTAGTACATGTAAGTCACCTTTAGTTCCAGCCTGCACATCCTCTGTTTCCATCAGTTCACTGGTGCCTTCATCATTCTGGGCTCTGATTCGGTAGCAGTATCTCCTTCCATGGTCAACATCGGTGTCTTTATAGTGGGCTTCACCTGAAATCTGGCCTATTTTTTTCCATGTGTTGCGTCCAATTTGGTTGCGTTCAAGTATGTAATGTTTAACAGGGCAACCACCATCATCTTTTGGGGGTCTCCACTTGACCTCGATGCAGTTGGAAGATGCTTCAATGATCTCCAGAGGTCCAAGTGGGATGGTAGGTTTATCTAAATGAGGTAAAAACTTTGAACTTTGGTATATGTTACACATTTGTTACCAATCTGTGCTACATTTTTATGCAGCCTGTCTAATTATTTAGCTTTTTTTACTTACCAAGTATAACTAGGTTAGAAAAGGCTTCCACTGTGCCAAACTCATTTTTGATTTTGATTTTGATTTCCCCAGTGTCTTTACGCTGCAATTTGGTGAGAAGCAGACGGCTTTCACCCTCTGAAATCTCAATCTTGCAGTGAGCGTCTGGCATGAGCTCTTCACCATCTTTGTACCACTGAATTTTGCATGGCTCACGGCCAATATAAGGAACTTTAAAGGTGGCTTTCTGATTGTTTTTGATCACAATCGGTTTTGCAAATACTTCAATTTCCTTTGCATCCAATCTTGGTGGATCTTAACACAAAAAAACAGAATTATAAGTTATGTGAAATTCATAACATTTGCTGATGCAATAGCACAATTTAGCAGATGTTAGAATACAAACCTTCAACTGCAACCTCACACTCGGTTTTACGCCCATCAGCCTCAAATCGATATTTTCCAGCAAATTCCTCCGTTACTTTGTCAATTTTCAGTTTGTGAAGGACTCCGTCTTTACTGATGGTTATACCCTCAGTGCCGTCAGCAATCTACAGAGAAAAGTTAAAAACAGTGTTTATGTGTTTACACACACCAAGGGCCAGATTTACTACCAGCTTGCGCCAGGGCAAATCCTCTTTTGGCATTAAAATACTACTGTCATAATTTACTAAAGACACACACAGTGAAAAATGAACACTGTAAAGCTGTGCACAGGGTTATTTGCTGCTGACCTTATTGAAAATGCATTTGTAGGACTTTCCCTTTCCGACGAAAAATTTATGGAAGGAGAGTATTTAAATGAATCATGCAATGTTTGCGCTAGTCAACTTACAGGTATTTGCAGCATTATTTATTGGGCCAAAAAAAAAAAACAGACGCTAATTTGCACTGCTCTTCGTAAATTTGGGTCATTATGGAAATGATGTGGTTGCATCTGTGTTATTTAATTTGCTCATCGTCAGTAGATCATGCACAGAACTTTCCACTCCCATCAGCGTTTTTTAATTTTTTTTTTTTAATTGTGCTCTCACGGTAATTTGCCCTGTTTAGTAAATATGGCCGCTTATGTCATGTTATACTGTATAAACTTATAATATGGCATCTTTATACCTCGTCGCCATCTTTGGACCAGACACCCTCACAGTCAGCACTGAGTTTGCAGACCAGTTCAGCCGCCTCTCCCATAATCGCTTTGCAGTCTTCCAGCCCAGCAGAAAAGTAAACACCAGGATCTACAGGGGATTTGTGTAAAAAAAAAAAAAAAAAGATTCCTGGGAATTAGGAATTAGGTCAACTGACTTAGTTTGAAATGCATTGTACAGTCATTCTTTTCATTCCAATAGTCCATAATTATAAATTTGGGGTTAAGTTGTTTAGTTGCGATAATTCTCTGAATTAGCCGTCACTAATTATTCAACAACTTCAACACTGGTGTGTACACAAATAATTGAAACATTTGTTTTTGGCTGTATTATCAAATATTGTTGCTTTTCTAATGACAATTAGAATACTTTCCAGTTGTTTTTCCATTGCATGTTGTTTATTCTCTGGATGCCATCCAAATTGTGGTGAATTTGCATGATTGAGTCACATTCGTGTGAAGAACGCCAAGTGTTTTGGCAATTAATAATCTTGCTGGTATGACTTCTCTTTGAATCTTCTTCTAAGGCACATCAGATCATTGTTTTCTCTTAATTAAATTTTGTTGGGTCATATTAGGTTGCATTTATTATAATCATGTCCCGGTTCCTCTGATTAGTGAGCGAGGTGATTTGCCTTTATGACAAGCAAGCGTGGTGAGGACAATACAAGCACATACTGATAAACACAAACAGCAGACACACAAACAGCTCGTGAAAAACATAAAAAAACACAATGTATAATCTTTAAATGAAGAGCATTTGTGGATCTGACAAAGTATCTCAATGGAAGGTTTTCCAGGAAGCTGTAAAGTCTGTGGTAAGATGTTTGGTGCTGCAGAAATAAGACCCAAAACACAAAGCATGTCTAATAGTTAAATTAAAGCTAAACTATTTAAAAAAAGAGACACAAATCCTTTGGGACCTATTGAGGTCCTATTGATACAATAGCATAAATCCTATTGAGACAATAGCACACTTAATTAACCCTCAGGTGCTCTTCGTTTCGGAGTCACACTTGTTATCTTCCCGGTCAAAAGTGACCGGACACCTAAAAATGAAACTTTCTCCATCCCGGTAAAACCAATGCAATTTATTTTTGTTCTATAATACAGTATAGAGAAAAAGCATAGAATCATGGTGTAACCACTAGATGGCATGTACTGTTTATGAACAATTTTTTTTTTTTTTGGTGGATTTGAAAATATAGTTGAAACAATCTTAAAAACTATTTCTTATAAAAAAAATTTTTATAATTTTTTGTCAATTTCCCATTCATTTCCTATGGGGGTGATTTTTGACCAAAGACCACAAGTGTGACTTTAAGACCAATTAGCATGCTCAGATCATGACCTCAATTTTTGTGTGTTCATATACATAATGCCATAAACGTCACCAAGTTTTGTAACATTCCGATGAAGCTGTAATTTTTAAAAATTCAAAACAGAAAATTTTCCGGTCAAAAATAACCGAAGAGCACCTGAGGGTTAAAAGAAGTTTTCAAATAAACAATGTGCAAAAATGTCTCCATAATTATGTAAAAAGCTTGGAATAGGAATTGTTTGGATAACATCGTTTCAGATTATGTGATTGAATCAAAGACCCAGAACTCCAGAGTTATTCCTGATTGTTCTGAATCACTGTAAATAATGACATTGCTTCCATGCAACTGTCACTGAAAACCCAAAACATCTCTTACCAACAACTGTATCCGGAACCTGTAGGCCATGTTTTTTACGGCCTGAACGCTTGCCAGCTTTTTCTGATTCATCCTTTTCATCTTCAGCACTTTTTTCTTCCCCTGTAGCTTCAGTGCTGCCCCCTGTTGGGCTTCCGGGTCCTGGTGGTTTCCCAGGTCCTGGTGGGTCCCCAGGGCTGCCAGAACCGGATGCGCTACCGGACCCGGTTGGGTTCTCGGAACCTGAAGGGTTGTCAGAACCTGATGGGTTTCCTGAACCTGATGGGTTACCAGAACCTGACGGGTTACCGGAACCTGATGGGTTGTCAGACCCTGATGGGGTTTCTTTATCTGATGGGTTACCTCCTCCTTCAATCATGCCATTTGATCAGTTGTGAAGCATTTTGAAGATTGACATCAATGTAATAAAGAGGGTTGAAAAGAACATTTAGGATAAAAAGAAGAACACACAACAAACAAAAACATTTAAGAGAACAGTGGCAAAAACAACCACAAAAATGCAAACAATGAACATTTTCAGAGGACCAGCCTCTAAACATGCTTTAGAGTGAGTGTATTTATTTTGTTTCTGTTGTGTCATGAAGGGTTATTCCACCCACAAGGAAATTTCATTGGTCCAAAATCCTTCTACACATATATGTGTGTTAAGCAGATTACATATTATAAATCAGTTTCTCAAGATTCATATGCCATGACTATTTTTTTTTTACAAAAAAGTTTCCAGAAAATTATAGAAAAGGTTTCCAGAACATAAAATGCTGCACAACCAATCAGAACATGATGTTATGCAGAGCTTGATATGTGGCCAATGAGATTTCACAGTGGGCGGGGCTACCCAGTGTGGCACCACAAATATAGGAACCAAACAACCAGAATATTGTTTTCGAAATGTTACACTCTGACTCTGAAAAACACTGACACACTACACAAAAACCCACAATACACACGAACAACAAAAAAATTAAACAAACAAATAAACAAACAAACAAACAATTAAGACTGACAAACCGAGCAACACATTAAGATGGTTTGTGAATTTGTGTGGTAGAATATACATTTTGAAAAATGTTAATTTTATTGAACATTCAATGATAGAGAAAATTTAAACTATTTATCTTTTGATGTAGAGTTTTTAATTTCATGTTGTCTTTTTAATTGGTTCATATTATTGGAACTTGCATTAGTCTCTCCTCTGTTAAAAGTAGTATTACTTAAATATACACATTAATCAATTACTGAATATTAATAATCATGCTTAAATAATTATTATTTTAAAAAGTTAATTCACGCAAATGTTCTGTTAAGATTTTATCAGTCATTCCAGAAAAAAAAAAAATGTTTGTGTTACAGTTGATACTTAATGGAAAATACACTTTTTAGTAAAAAAAAAAAAAACACTATTTAGTTTCGGTAATCATTTTAATATGAGCTGGATTTAGTGTGTTCACCCCACACTCTTACCAATCACCGTGTCTGGTATCAGTGGGCCTTGTCTTACACGGGTACGGCCCACAGCTTCCCCTTCCTGCTTACAATGCTTCACATCTGCTACGGGGCTGGTTGTGTTTGAGTTTCCTATCATGATTTTTGATGTAAACTGGAAATTAATCAACATAGGATGTGTAACGATTTGATTGTGTGTGTGTGTGTGTGTGTGTCCAACTTGAGCTAAAAACACCTGCAGGATAGGTGTGTTATGATGATAACTGCTTATGTTTGTGAAGAGTAACATCCGCTTATAAGCAAACAGAAAATTGTGCAAAGATGTTGCACAAAACTTAGTTATATTGCAAAAGCCTGTTAAATGAAAGCAAAAATAGTATCTATCAAAATTGCTGTTGATTTTAGAGTTGAATAGAGTGTGTATGTTTACAGCTTTGTTTCAAATTACATACCATTAAATAATGACTTTATAGACTTACATTATCAAAACAAATTCTACTTCAAATAAATGCTGTTTTTTACTTTCTATTAATCATCAAAAATAATGATTTCTGGAGGATCGTGTGACACTGAAGACTGGAGTAATGATGCTTTGCAATCACACAAATAAATGACATTTTAAAATATATTCAAATTGAAAACATTTTAAATTGTAACTATCTTTTACAATATTGCGGTTTGAACTGTATTTTTGGTCAAAATTAAATTAAAAATGTCAAGATGATTGCAGACATGCTCTGTTTTCTGTAAGAACCAACCCCTTTGCCATGTCATAAAACATATTTTTAAAATTATAGATGAAAGCGAGAAGAAGTCTAGAATATATACATTTTTTGGTCTCCTTGTATAATTGCTCACCTATTACAGTCTCGGGTACAAGAGGTCCTACTCTCTGACGCTTTTTTTCTTCTTCGTTACCACCTCCATCACCACCGCTTCCACCAGAGCCATCAGCTCCTCCAGCCCCACCAGCAGCTCCAGCTCCACCCGCCCCTCCAGCTCCACCAGCTCCATCAGCTCCATCAGCTCCACCAGCTCCTCCAGCTCCATCAGCTCCACCGGCTCCTCCAGCTCCACCCGCCCCTCCAGCTCCACCGGCTCCTCCTGCTTCACCGGCTCCTCCAGCACCTCCAGCTCCACCGGCTCCTTCACCTTCTCCAGTAGCTCCTGTAGCCCCCACCGCCCCTGCAGCTCCAGCTCTCCCTCCAGCCCTCTCAAGCTTTGCTGCCTGTGCAGCCATTGCAGCCATTGCCGCAGCCCCCGCCGCAGCAGATTGCTCAGCACTCAGGCCTTCACTTAAGGCCTTGAGTTCAGCCTGCTTCCTGGCCTCTTCCTGGGCGTTGGCTTTGGCTTGAGCTGCCGCATCCCGTGCCGCTGCACCCGCCGCGGCTTTAGCATCGGCCTCAGAGAGACCTTTGGCTTTAGCTGCAGCAAGAGCATCCTCCGCCGCTTTAGCAGCAGCTGCGGCCGCGGTCGATGCAGCCGCCTGAGCGGCCGCTTTCGCTGCTTCGGCTTCAGCTGCAGCTTTGGCTTTGGCTTCAGCTTGAGCTACCTCTCGTTCAGCTTGGATTTTTTTAGCTGCCTCCAAAGACTCTGCCATCTCTTTCTTGTGCTTCTCAGCCTGCACAGCAGCGATTTTCTCCAAGTCGTCTCCAGCTCCGCCTGCCTGAGTGGTTTTACGGGCTTTCTTCTTGCCCTTTGTTGCAGGATCTTTGTCAGCTGGTGTGGAAACAATATTACCAACAGATTTAGATAGTGAATATTACATTTATTAAGGATTTACATCCTGTTCATTTGACACAATTGAATATTACAAAAATAAAATAAAACAAACAATTGATGGTTTTTATTTTTTAGACAAATTTTGAAAATATTGACATATGCTATTATTTGTGATTTATTTGAATACCTAATCAACAAGTCAAAATTTGATTAGATTTTTTAAAATAATTGACAGACATATGTTCTAATACAAGGGCTGTGATCATTTGTGATTGATTTTTAATCTGCATATCATGCAATTATTTTTCCATTTATTGACAGCCCATTTGTCTAATAGAACGGCAGTCAATTTAACTTTGACTGTAAATTTAGTATAATTTGGGGACTCACTTGCAAATAATAATCTATGCGATAAATTGCTATTAATTTAAAGTGCCCCTATTATGCTATTTTAAAGGATTCCAATTTTGTTTTGGAGCTCTCCTACAACAGGTTTACATGCATCAAATTTTTATAAAACTGTTTAATTTTCTCCTAATAAACATTTCACCTCACCACTTTTTTAAATGACTCTTAAACGACTCTAGGGATGAAACCTGAAGAGATTTCTCGAAGGAAATCTCTCTAAATCTCTCATTTCCATGAGGCTACTCTGCTCTGATTGGCCAGACACCCCAGTCTGTTATGACTGGTCATTCGCTTACAGCACTTGATGAAAGCTAAACTCCCATTACCATTACTGAACTTCAGCTTCGGAGGCGATTGTACACACTATGTACTCAACCCGAATGTGTATTCAACTTCAACCTTGAGCAGGACGTTTTTTACTCAAAATATTAAGAATAAAAATCTGCATTGAAAGACAGTTTTAGTTAATAGTGGGCCCACAGCTGTTTTGCAGAACTATTTCAGTATGACAGTAAGTTAGCCGGAAACTTACATAATATAAAACACGAAACTACATGTTTTGAGTACTCGGGAGACAATATATACTTCAATAATTATTCATACTTAGGTTGTGATTCTGAGGAGCAAGCTGGTCAAAATAAATTGGGTACTGACCCATCTTACAAGAGCAAGCATTTTACGAATCCTGCGTTGAAGACTCAGTCAGTAAAATGATGCGTTTGTGGGTGGACAATGTGCAAATGTCTTATCTAGTGTCGTATAATTTTAAAGGCTATGGGATTCGAATTACAGAGGACTCGTTTAGACAGTTCAGAATCGATTATTTATTTTGGTAGACAATAACTTTATTTATCGTGATCTTTTGACTTTACAGAACGTTTATATTCACAAACAGCTATACAAGGGAATACAAGGGAATATTTGAAAAACCATAATAAGGGCACTTTGAATAATACAAATGATGATGTGTTTATTTTGATTAAATTTTTTTTTAATTAACAGAACTTTTTTCTAAGATATGAAAAAAGGTTGTACTTACCTTCTACAATCAGCCAAGCACTGCAAGACTTAATGCCGGCAAGAGCAGCATAGATTCCAGCATCCAAAGGCATACAATCAATGATTCTCAGACGGTGGATCAGTTTATCCTCTGAACAAGTAATCTCATATTTTTCACTGTTAGAGAGAGGTGTATTTTTTAGGGTCCAAACTATCTCATTAATGGGCTGACTTAAGACACACTCGAAGATGGCATCCTCTCTCTCCTGGGCCGTCACCTCCTTAATCTTCAGGGCAAAGTCCACAGGGGGAACTGCGTGTTAAATATGGATAAACACGCATCAGTCAATCTATGAAGGCATTATGCATTCTGTGAGAGCGCTGGTGAAAAGACCGGCAAGGCTTTTCACCACAGTATGTAGTGTTTTCAATGCTGGGGTACTGGTGTCTCCACTAGGCTTAATTTTCAATGGAAATACACTAGTAAAAATGTGCTTATACTATATACATATTAGTATAATGCTAGAGTAGAAGCAAAAAAAATAAATAATAATAATAATAAAAAAACAAGCATATGACAAATAAACAAATGTGCTGTGAAAACGTACCCTTGAAATCCGTTGAAAAGATATTGACACCCTCAACATCCACTTGATAGATTCCTGCATCTTCTGGATTGAGATTTTTAACAGAGAAGACATACTTCTTGCCAACTTGTTTTAGACAGTGTTTCATATCTGCTTCAGCTTCTTTGCTGAACGGAATCATGACGCCATCCTGAACAAAAGGGGAAAAAAATTGTATTTTTTAGAAGAAGAAAAAAATAGTTTTACATGATGCATGTTCATTAATGCATTGCATCTAGAAAAAATGAAAGGCTGGTACTCATAATAATGCTGGCTGAATGGATGCCACTAGTATAGCATGTTTTTTTTTTTATTTAAATATGTGCAATATCTGAAACCTGCATAGCCATGCCAAAAATATCAAATAAATGTAATTAAGCAGCTAACAAAATTGTTGTCAAAATAATTCAATTAATTTCGGGTTGGGTGAAATCAGTACAATGGGAGTACACCACAGACACAAAGTATGAAGCGCTAATAACTCTACTGTTAAAATTCCTTAAATTACTTTTTTGTTTTAATTTTATATATACTTGTATATGAAGCAATAGTAAGTGGCTGTCTGTCAATTGTCACAGACAATTTCAATGTTTCTCTTCACATTCTCAATATCATGCACTGTTTGTTTGTAACTAGCATTGATCTACTACTGTATATCACTCCTTAACACAGTTCTCACCTTATACAGAAAAATGCGACTGTTGGGGTCTTTGAGCTCCATTTCCAGTTCAAAGGTTGCACCACCCTCAGGCTTCACCTCAATGGGTTTGAGATTACTGAGATGTTGGATGAACTAAATCAGTGAAACAAACGCAAACATAACAATTTGTCTCCATGTGCAGTTGTGCATCCAGTCATGAAAATGTGAAAGCAATTATTTGTGAAACCTGTCATCTCTTTACCTGTGCCTGCTCTTCTTCTCTTTCTTTCTTCATCTCGACCAGTTTCTTTAGCATGCCACGGAAATCAGTGATATTATACTTGACGCAAATGCTTTCATAGTCTTTCTTCTCAGCACTCAGAAGCAAATCCCAAACTGAGTCGTCAATGTCACCTTCCTTTTTCTCCTCACATTTTTTGCCAGCACTTTAAAAAGATTGTGATGACAAATATGAGGCCAAACGTTAGCATTTAACTGGATTAACGTGACTGATGTTATAATATGAGATGGGCTAATTAACTATGGCAAGAATCATGCTTATGAATAGACCCTAAATGTGAAACTGCACATCTCACCCTTTCCTGAGGTTCTTTCTAAACTCTGTTGGGTCACCTACTACAGCTTCAAAACACAATCAACAAACAGAAGGAAATTAATGCGTATGTACCTGTATGCCATGGATGTCACAAATCCTATTAAATCGCTTTTGGTATAAAAAACTGTCATACTAATCCGAAGAAAGTCTTCTAGCAATATGTTGCCACAATTGTCTTACCTGTTTCAGCTGACTTTTTTATTTCTTTGTCTTTTTTGAATCCAACTAAAAAGAAAAAGTTTAAAAAAAGTTCTCTGTTAGCTCTACTTTTTTGTGAATAGAATAAGAAATGAGTTAATAATAAAAGTAACAATTAAGTATGGGTCTTTAAAGGGGACACCGGATGCTCATTTCACACAAGTTGGTATGATTCTTTAGGGTCTTCATGTAAAATTTGTGAAATGAAATCCCCTTTAAAAAATGCGTCCTACCTTCAATGATATTTAGAACAACAGTGCAAACAGCCTTCCCATATTCATTTGTGGCGTAGCATTTGTAAGTGTCGGCTTCATCAATAGTGACTTTAGGTATCTGAAAGTAAATAATCAGATAAATGGGTTTGTAGCTTTGATTAATCTTGCATAATAATTGAATAACAATGATAATGAAATGAACATTTAAAGGTAAAGAGTGTAATGTCTGAGAATTGTAAAAATTGTAATGACTGTTTCCAGGTCTCTACCCCTGGTCCCGCTGAAGATGTGCCACTGGTTATGACAAAGTTGCTGTGCTAGGCTGCTCAAACAACAGAAAACAATGCCTTGATGGCACAGAGAAACTGAATTTACACTATCAGAGGGAATTAACCTAATCTGGGATATAAGACAAATGTTTAATAATTAAAACATTACACACTTCACCTTAAATATTGAGCAGTAGTTTAAAAGTAAGGCTGTGCATACCTCCAAAGTGTGTTCATTAGTTGTGGGGTCAAATTTGCTCTGAAACTTTTGGGGATCATTCATTTCTCCTTTAGCTCTACGCCAGGTTACAGTGGGTGTTGGATTCCCATTCACTTTGGCTTTAAAAATGGCCAGCTTTCCTGTTTTACAAAGATTTAAATTTGAATTTATCAGGTAAATATTAAAAGGCTTTCAAAAAACACACTGTGAAAATTATTGGGGTGTGTGTACTATTCTTTTTTCAGAAGTCAACATAGCTCTTGTGCCTTGACATCACTGTCCTTGTTATGTCAAATGTGTGTTGATTGCAGTTCCCTTTCGAAGAGTCACTTCATATTGAGTAGCTATACGCAGTGGGGAAACTCTTTTTTCCATGATTTACTGAAACCTTTATGTAACACGCATTTGCAGCTGCACAGCTAGCTCACAGAGCGCCTGGCTCGCGTATAGGCTGTGCTGCAGCAACTGCACATCCAATAGCATTGGCGCTAATATAGGCTAGTGCCACGCCCCTTGATGGGCTCTGAGGTGTAATGACGTTTTAAACTGCATTAAACTAATAGCAAAATCAGGGACTAATATAGGCCGAGGCTACGCCCCTTGATGGCCTCTGAAGAGTGACCAATGAGATCACTCTACGTCATTTCACGTCAGAGCCCGTCAAGGGGCCTATATTAGCGCCCGGGCCATTGGATGTGCTATGAGCGAGACAGGTGCTTCGTGGGCTAGCTGTGCAGCTATAAATGCATTTTACATAAAGCTTTCAGGAAATCAGGAAAAGGAGTTTTCCCACTGCGTTTAGCTATGCAATAATTCGTCCCCTAACTTAGGGAACTAAGGTTACATGAGTAACCAAGTAGATTTAAGTACATCTTACTTTCGTTCTTATACAATTATGTGTGCATTTATTTGTTCAGGTACACACTTAACTAAATGTATGCATCTCCATTATGAAAAATGGTGGATGGCTTGAATGCTTGAAATTAGGCAAACATAAATTGAGCCTATGTGTGAATTTCCAGCCCGTTCTCATCCCAAGGCGTCATATACTGATCATTTTGACATTTCGTCTACATCCAATGCATGGCACTCTTTAGATATATACGCAGATATATATATGGGCCAGAAGGCGCCTCCTAGTGGTCTAACCTTAAACCTACCCCTGAACTAAACCTACCCATAACCGAACAAAGCTCTGTGTGCGTTATATTGACGCTAAAGGGTGCCATGTGCGTTGGATTTAGTGTCACTATATGACGCCCTAGGAAGAGAACGCGTTGGAATTTCTGTATAAAACAAACATTTTAATTACAAGTCAAATAAGTACCCGGCATACTGAAGACTATTTAAAATACTGTACGTCCCAGTTGGTTGGGTAGATATCCAAAGAACTAGCAATATATTTCATAGTTTTACCCCTGGTTTCACAGACAAGGCTTAAGCCTAGTCCTAGACTAAAATGCATATCTCAAAATATGCCAGTGCCATTGTTTTGTCTCAACAGTAAAGGTTTTGTTTTTTTCTTTCTAAGGCATGTTTATAAAAGCTACTTAAATGTCCTGATTGAACTAAGGCCTAAACCTGGCTTAATCTAAACCCTGTCTGTGAAAACGTCTCAGGTATGTAACCCTGGTTCCCTATTACTGCACATTTGTAGTCTTGCTCTGTGCATTTTAAACTAGCATGAAATGGGTTATATGCTATTTGTGCATACTATATAGCTGTAGTCTCATGTTAAAGCGGTAGGACAAGCAGCAAACCTGATAAATCACTAACACTGTAAGTTAAGTCTGTGTAGCTGCACAGCTTAGACATTTATGGCAGTAAATCTGTGTGGTAATCCTCTGTACATGCTCATAGCTTGTTAATTTCAAATCCAGGTTCGTTTAGCTCTCAACTGTCACCGCTAATCATATTTGCATTCACTTTTGCAGTTTCTCTCCTCTTCTTTTAATGTGCTTACCTTCCTGAATAGTTAAAGCGATGGGTTTACGTGTGAAGTCGGGAGTTGTCATCCCCTCAGGAAGTTCCTCCATATACTGTGTAATCATGACACCAGGAACCTTAGATCTCCTTTTGATGCCTGAGAGAATCCACATTCAGGGTACAATGTCAGAACTTGGGGGGAAAACAACAAAACAGCAGGTGACAGTGACGTACAATGCTGAACAATTCTATGCATGAATGTCTAGCCTAGATAAAAAACTATTTACAAAACTGTGTACAAAATACAATACACTTCAAGTTGGCATTGAAATGTTTCCAGGAGATAAAATCAATGATATATGCCATTATATACCAATTTATACCATTATTACCCAAAAGATATAGTTTACTGAACATGCATTGAACTCTGTGACCTTTTCTGTGCTGAGATATGTTGACACTAGTCTCACGCAGCCAGTCTCCTGTCCGTAAATTTAGGTATGCAGATTCTAATAGTTGAACACTTGCAGACAAACTTGGCAGACTTTGCTTTATTCAACCTGAAGGTGGCACTCTAATGTTGATTGACAGGCTTTAAATACACAAGGCACATGAATACATGTAGAATGCTAGCTTGGAATTGCCTTAATGTAGTTTTGCCCCTGGATTTTGTTTTAGAACATTACAACTTACGGAGGAATTTCAGAGAGGAAAATAGATTAAGAAAAACCTACAATATTTAAGATGTGCAAAATTATAAGTGTTCTAGAAGCTTTATGCAGCGTGTCATTGAAAACATAGTGAGTCTATCCCTCACAGCCTCCCTTTAATAGCGCTGCTCTGAATGAGTCTTAACAGAGCCTGCTGCAGTTCCATTTTTCACCACAGGTTTACATTGGAAAATTGTGGGGCGCTATAGAGCTGGGGAGGGGGAGGACTCGGCACCCAGCGCCCCTTTAGTATCATAGGATATGCCTGCCAAAGCCATACGTTAAAATGTAACTGTACGACTTAAAATAGTCTAGAAAATCAACACAAAAAAAAATATTTGGTGAATGGACTGCATTTATATAGCGCTTTCACAGACCCAATGGCCACCAAAGCGCTTAACATTTTGCCTCACATTCCCCCAGTCACTTATACACCGACGGCGGTGTCAGCCATGCAAGGCATGCCATCCAGCTCGTCGGGAGCAGCTGGGGTAAGGTGTCTTGCTCATGGACACCTCGACACTTGGTCAGGTGGAACCGGGGATTTGAACCACCAACCTTCTGGTTTGTAGACAACCTAAATGAAGCACTGAGCCACTGCTGTCCCATAATTTGCCACCCCATACATTTTTGTTACAGAATGCTGTACAATTTACAATTTATTATTGATTTCATTTATTTGTTTTTGTTTTGGAGGGATATTTTGGTGGTGCCCTTCACTGCCCCAGCTTCGGCTGCCTTTGCCTAACGATAGCTATGACCTTCACAGGCTTTTTAAAATAGAATTTAGTTTCTCCTCTGAGATGTCAATTGCTGCAGAATCTGAACTTTTAAAAATGTTTTTTTTTTTTTCGCCACACACTATAGACTCCCACCTCCAGAAGTCAGCCAAACAGATTCAGAATGACAGCAATCTGAACATTCATATGACCTGAACAGTTGACTGGATATGATATGATATATGACATGATATTCTGAATATCATATGCATGCAGATTCAGGTTGCTGTCATTCAATTACCTTACCTTGTCTCCTAGGAGGTAGAATTTCCGGTCCTGGCACAGTATAGCCACAACATTACAGTACAACAGCAACAAAGGAAGGGGAAACAAAGAAGGAGAACACAGAATTGTGAATCCTGGCTTCTTTTTTTTCTATGACAGGATTACGGACAAACATAAATGTACTCAAAAATACAACCAAAAAACACAGGACAAGGGAGAAGACGGGGAGATTAAAGCAATAAAACAAAAAATAAAATAAAAATGATTGTTCAACCCACTAAGGGGTTGAATGTGAGATTACAATAGACAAGACTAAAGAAAGAACAGACAAAGTGGGAAGGGAATAAAAATGTAAGACCTGCTTCACACAGCATACATTAGCAGCAGTTTTTATTCTGGCTACAGTACTCACCCTGTAGCCTATAGCTGTGAGTTTCTATTCAAAGCATATTTCAGCTAAAATATAGGATACTATAAACCAAATAATCTGTTCTTTTCAAATATGGATATTTTTGACGTACTGCAATATGTATAGCAAATTACATGAGTGAACATAATAGCCTAATCACTTACCAGTTACATTTAGTAAATCTGGCATGATTTGAGGGCGCTGTGGAATACTTTATTTTGATTGGTCAATCACGGGTTTCAGAGGTGATCTGTCATCCATGGCAACGCTGTATCCTCATCCAGTTACTGAAACTGGTTTGACTTGTACGTCTCGGGTCACAAATCAGACATATAAATATTACAGTGTTCATCTGGTTGCTATCACTGATTGTTTTGTACATTTTTTACATTTACCTTTTTTTCCGGAAGTATTAATATAATATACATGCACTTCTTTGCTTGCATTTGCGGTGTGAAACAGGCCTGTTTTTAATGTCCTGCAATTGATATACACCCACCTGAAGGATTATCAGGAACACCATACTAATATCGCCTACACTCTAAAAAATGCTGGGTTGTTTTAACCCAATTTTGGGTCAAATATGGACAAACCCGAAATGTTGGGTTAAAAATGTAATGTAAAAATTTAACCCAATGGCTGGGTTAGTCCATATTTGACCCAATGTTGGGTTAAAACAACCCAGCATTTTTTAGAGTGTACTTTCGCCTTCAGAACTGCCTTAATTCTACGTGGCATTGATTCAACAAAGTGCTGAAAGCATTCCCATATTGGTAGGATAGGATCTTGCAGTTGATGGAGATTTGTGGGATGCACATCCAAGGGCACGAAGCTCCTTTACCACCACATCCCAAAGATTGGGTTGCAATCTGGTGACTGTGGGGGCCATTTTAGTACAGTGAACTCATTGTCATGTTCAAGAAACCAATTTGAAATGATTCGAGCTTTGTGACATGGTGCCATGGAAGTAGCCATCAGAGGAGGGGTACATGGTGGCCTAAAAGGGATGGACATGGTCAGAAGCAATGCTCACAGGTAGGCCGTGGCATATAAACGATGCCCAATTGGCACTAAGGGGCCTAAAGTGTGCTAAGAAAATATTGCCCACACCATTACACCACCACCACCAGCCTGCAGAGTGGTAACAAGGCATGATGGATCCATGTTCTTCTGACTCTACCATCTGAATGTCTCAACAGACATTTTTTTTTCCTATTTGTAGTGGAGATGAGTGGTACCCAGTGGGGTCTTCTACTGTTGTAGCCCATCCGCCTCAAGGTTGTGCGTGTTGTGGTTTCACAAATGCTTTACTGCATACCTCGAGTGTAACGAGTCGTTATTTCAGTCAAAGTTGCTCTTCTATCAGTCGGCCCATTCTCCTCTCGGAGTTCAGGAGATTGTCTTGACCAGGACCACACCCCTACATGCATTGAAGCAACTGCCATGTGATTGGTTGATTAGATAATTGCATTAATGAGAAATTTAACAGGTGTTCCTGATAATCCTTAAGGTGAGTGTATCATCATCACCCATCATAATAAAAAAGAAGGGGTTCATAAATAACAAGAAAAAAATGAATAAAAAATGTAATTAAATAAGATAAAATAAATCCCCTCCTCAAAGCAAATGAAATAAATAAAGCAAGAATTAATCAAAGAAATAATCAAAGAAAAGAAATATTGTGAGTGGGTGGATTTGGTGGAAGTGGGGGAAAAAAATGTAATGATGTAAGCTGGTTTGTTGAAAGGTAGGAGCTGTAAGTTGTGCATACAGGTTTGAATCCAGCCTGGTTTATTTCATCCGCTCTTCTTTTCTCGCTCTATTTACTGTCCTTCACAACACAGACACTTCACATTCAGGTTGGTTGATGGTCGTCCCTCGCATCCATGGTTACGCGATTCAAAGAAACCCATGCTGAATGACAGTAAATGCTCTCAGGGCTGTTTGAGCTTCCAGATGAAGGGCACACTAGCCACTGATAAAGGCTCTGATTTCATAAGCCACATTCACAGCCTCTTCTTCATTTGCATCTTGTGCTCAGTGGCTAGTTTCCAAACACACAGCCTACGACTTTAACCAGCTGTTTGATCATTCGTGTGTTTCAATAAATTTGTGTGGCTAGGTTCGATTCAACACTTGCTTTTATCTCGCCATCTTGCTTTTCGAACCCCTCGGGGACCGATATATTATTCACTTTGTCATGGAGAGGAGGTCATTAGATTTTTATCTGGAAAATCCGCCGTCGCCTTTTAACACAGCTGCTTACCGTGGAAGGACTTTTCGAAATGAGACTCATGTCCTATCAAGTGTATCAAATTCCATTGCTATACCCTCATCATTATGAGTACAATGAAAACTGATTAACTAAATTACATCCTCCGGGAATAGTTACCATTAAGAAAAAGAAAGAATTACACAACAAAAGAGGAGATTTCTTTTCACCATCATCTGTCTTTCTCCACTAGCAAGTCTTCACAGAGAGAACATGGCTGGATTTGTTGTTTCAGTAATTCAGTAATAGAGCACTTGGACAAGGTTCGGTGCCGGTGTCAGCCTGCCATATGGGAGAGAGAACAATTATATTGTTCTTACCGCCTTGCCCGGCAGCAGTTGGATCGGAAACCTTGGCTTTTTTCATCATCTTGATGCAGTCCAATGGCTCAAGAATTCAGAAGTATCTCTGGGAAAGAGAAAAGCAATATGAAAGGTCAATTCAATTTCAATCTTATTAAACATTTGGAGAGATTAAAATGTTTGCACGGGATGCAATTAGAAGATGTGTAAAAAAGCCAATTTAATAAATCAGTCTAGGATATTCGGCCCATGTGCTTCTGAAGAATGTATCCCCATTAAGCAAACACCTCAAAATAGGTGCAACTAGTATTTGCACATTTAAATAACCTATTAAGTCCACACAGTTTAGGGAAGAGCAATTCAGGTGAGATAGGCACAAAGACGGAGCAAAGTAGGACGGCAGTTATCCCATCTGTTGGGATGTGATGCAGTGTGACAGTGCGGTGCATTATGTTCCATTGGAGAGGCTTTGGGCCTAGTCAGCAAAACCTCCACGGCTCTAGTCATTCATCTTTTCAAATCCACTCACACATACAGTTCAGATCCAGTCAGTGTGTCCTCACCAGTATACCAGCACTAGCATAGCAGCACTAATATGGGATTTTGACATGTCTGGATTTAACTGTCTACTGCATGGTGACAAATTGGCTTTGAGGAGGAGAGCTGAAAATGTTTTAGTGAGCATGTGTTTGAGATTTTTAGCATTGTTCCAAAACCTAGTGTGCTGTCTACTGCCTATAGGGGGCGTTACAAATAATGTACGGTATGCATCCAATTGGCTTTATGCCCAGCTGCACTACTTCCTGAACTTCAGCCAGCTCCTTGTTTCCTGTCTGCCATTATTGGCCAAATTGATTAATTCAGGTGCGTCTGATTATTGTTGCCATGACTACTGAGGTCAAGCACACCTGAATGAATCAATTTGGCCAATAATGGCAGACAGGAAACAAGGAGCTGGCTGACGTTCAGGAAGTAGTGCAGCTGGGCATAAAGCCCATTGTGCTGTTTCAAATGTGCTTTATGTGAACACAAGACGGACATCTTGGTTCATGTGTACTGAGTTTTTAGACACCATATCTATTAGCCAGCTCGTTGTGAATCAAGGAACGCATCCTTGAATGTAAAAAGGGACCTAATTGAAATAAACGACTGAATTGCTACCCCGCATGTCACACAAAAAGTGCTCGTTGTGTTAATCCCTCACAATCGACTTCAACAAAATTAGCCGTTAGCATGTTGCTAAGATAACAGTGCATTATCTATGCAATGTAAATCACACACCTTAATATTTCAGTAAATATAGGTCATTTTTATTTAAAGGGGCTAAATGTAGAATTCAAAAACCCTTGAAATTAGTAACACTGGTCATGGTTAAGTGAACTGCAGCCAGCAACCTATTGCCCGTGTTTTGAAATTCAGTACTCGTTTAGAAGCGCCGCCAACCATATAACAGTGGAAACACGGAAAGACAGATGGCGGGGAAAGAGATTGAGATATAGACTATATAGATCTGGCCATGTGTTTGAATTAATGACATTATAATAGCTTTTTCTGCATTATCCTGAACATTGTAAGCATTCATTTCATGTGTCCTTGAACAGAAGTGAGACTCTCAGGAGCACATGTAAATGTCACATCCTTTCAATTTTACAGGCATTATACAACCTAGGAACTTTTTAGAGTTTCATTATAATGTGTATTTTTTGTACACAATGGCTCCAAAAAAGTAATTAATCCATGAATATTCTTCCATATAGCCCCCTTACTTTAAACAATTTTCATGAATAGTTTTCATTATATTTTTAATTCATCAGTTCATTACAGGAAAGTTAATTTCTCAATGAAAGCTAAGTTTGGCCAAACAAGGTGAAATGCTGACTAGGTCGACTATAGGTTTTGGACAGAGCTTGTTTATTTGGAATGATCTTGTAGTCTAGGGCCTTCAATGACTCTTGTCCCACTCTAGTCATTGACTTCTGCTAATGGTAGTCTCAATCTCATCTCAGAAACAGAACAACGCAGGTTGTTTTATACAGTGGCTATCTTTTTTCATAAATAACTAAACTTGCATTCTGTGCTACACCAGTCATCTGACCGAGTGGCGTATTCAATACACAATAGCATGCTGATTGGCCTCTCATAAACACTGCACAGAGCATAATGGGATATAAATGCAAGCGTTTTGTGGATCACAAGCTGCTGAAATCTGACATTTGAGTGTCATCCTTCAACATGCATGTGATTCATTGCACTCATCATTATGCATGGTTGGCTTGTCATTTCTGTTGGCGTGAAACCTGCCAGCTATTATTTCAATTGGATGCATCATGAATAACACTATGACAGTTTACTGCTTCCAATACATACATATTTTACGAATAATTATCAGCCTCATGTTGAACAGGTGAATGCATGTACTGAAGTCATGGCAACACTTTACGATAAAGTTCATAAAAAGAATTTGCATTAAGCATTGTGAACTGAAATGAACAGCATTTATTAATCTAGATCATTGATCCATGAGTGTTAATTACTTCATACATTTATACCATTTAAAGTTGCAGGAATTAACTTTATTCATGAATAATCTCAGTAACAACAAACAATAGTATATTGGTGCATTACAAAAAGGTTCAATTCATAGTTAAAGTTTTACCAAAACTGTGATATCTACAGTATTATACCATTGGTCTCACCTGGTGGGTTTGTTAGGGTCATAGACTGCCATGAAAAAACAAACAAAAATAAAATAAAAGTAACATCTATACTTTGTCATAGCAAAAAAAAAAAAAAAAAAAAAAAATATATATATATATATATATATATAAAGCCTTTTAATAGAGAGGAGATTACACTTTTGGTGTTTAACAACTGAGCGTCCATACAGCCAAATGCGTTTTTTTGGTGCAAATTCATCTTTCACTACTAGTAGAAGCAGCCAAATTCATGCACAGGTTGAGACATCACCCATTCTCCGGTACACAAGGTAGAACAAACTGGACTATATTAAATCAGTTTAAGCGAGAGTAAACAATGGATTGTGCCAACTACAATTTGTTTTGGGCAGAGAGCACAAAACCATCAAAATTCAAGAGGCATGCACAAAAGAAAATGGTCAATTTCCATGCGTTTTGTATGAGAAATGCTTTCAATATTGTGTGACTTGATGTCCAGTGTAAAATCTGGCTGCTAGAACAAAATTATTTGAGAAACACTATTGCACGTTCTCTGATTACAGCACAAGGTATTCAGAAAGACAAATTATTTGAACAACCATGCTAGTTTTCAGTAAGTCCTCCTAAGCAGCCCTTGGCTTCAGCTCATTTTGGAAAACGAGCTATCTAACCCTCCTGAGCAAAATACCCCGACACTGAAGCTTGCCAAGCTGAGGGTCTTAAGTTTACACGCAACCTGAGCTTCACACCACTCAGCGCAATCACATGCTTATATGGGAACAAGAAAGCATTTCATTTCACAGCCATCTTGGGCATTCTACTCCTAAATGTAGGTATATTGCCATCTTACTTAACAAATTAGTGGTTTATTGAGCAAAGTTCTGATAATATAGCTTCCAGGGGTTTCCACCTGTATCTCAGATCAGAAGAACTGCTGTATGAAAGCAGACATTTTCATCGTGCTGAGAAACCGATGAGAAGTTATGAAGCATGAGAAGCCATGCTTCAAAACATAATTGGATGTCAGCGGCAGGCCGTGCTGTATAACGGTAATAACAGTGCATGAGTAAACTACCACTTCACACGACTATATGAAAAGCAAGTCTAATGACTTGTTCAAGTTTTAAACTATACCACTAACCCTTTTTTCCTCTCGGTGAATTGCCCTGCTGACATGTTTAATAGGACACAGTCATTTGTCAAATGATAGGCTACCATGCTAGCCTAACGCAGCCCTCGGTTGGCGCCAGTTATTTACATTTCGGAAAACCGGCGAAGTTCAGTAAGAGAGCCACTTAAAAAGTAATAGCATGCATATCATCAACGTACATTGTATTAGCAATGTGACATTTATGCGAACACCAATGGGGAAGTTGTATTTTTGGCTTTGCCAAGGGGCCTGTCTCTCGGAAATGGATATGAAATGGATTTTAGAGCTATTTAACCATCATGTTAATAAAAATAAGTCTAATTTTCACAACAGGGATTATTTTAGTAATCGCCTAATCCCAGCAGTGCGTAAGTAGGTTTCTCAAACAGCACACTAGCCAGGAATGCATTAAATGCAATATTGATGGGAGCATTAAGTCTATTTTTCCTTTTAGGGAAGGCTGGAAATGAGCCCCTAAGGTCTTAGACTGAAGCAACACATGTTTTAGGTGAGGAAATGACCACACTATTAATCAGCCTGCTTGTCAGTACTTTATTTAGAGTACATAGGATACGATTCCACAGGGTGTTTAACTGAGCAAAATGACCGTTAGTAATAGGCAAAGCCAATGTCTATCACCCTCCTATTTCTCTGATTGGTGATAAAATCTCTTCCTCTGTCCTTTCAGCCTTGCCCAGTTAAAATGGCTCCTGTGGATAGACTCTCCAGGCTTCTCAAATGTCCCCACACACCTCTTAAAGGGATACTTCAGGATTTAGCATTGAGCGTTGTATTAGTAGAAAACCTGTAGTATTTTCGAATTACTATGGTTTCCACCCTCATATCCCCCGACGAGACGAGATTTATGTATTTTTTGAAAATCGTCATTTTGCGTCATCTAAGGATTTTTTGGCCAGAGGCTAAAGACTACAGCCAGTAGAAAGAGCTGTTCTGCATGTTATCAACTCGCCAATAGAGGGTGGGATCTCACTCACAGAATGTACACATAGTGTCAGCCATCTTTTTTGTAAGCTAAGCTAGCAGGCTCTTGTTCTATGGAGAAAGCTGAGAAGTAGGGGTTACCATCCTTTTTTCCCCGGACATGTCCGCTCATCGATGTCCGGGGTTTAGCTTTTTCTTTCTGCGGTCGCCATTCATAGTTTACATGTACTGAATTGATTTGGATTGGTGAATCTGAATGTAGTGTTTACATGAACGCTAAACAAGTGATCGGTTGATGTGCGTTTAATTTTACTAAAAAAATTCCCGCTCCGTGAGAGATACGAGACCGGTGCGTCTTATTGTTGTCGCTCATCGGTAATCACGCCACCGGCCTCGCGCCGTTCTCCTGTGGCCCTCACTCGTCCCGCTCGCCGCAGTAAACATGATGAACGGCTACTGTAGAACGCAAAAGCCAGACAGTTTTGGCGATCTCGAAACACAGGTACGAAATAGGTACTATATCCCACATTATTGAACGTTACACCATTACTCGCATGCTTCCTCTGTTTTGTCCCCACCGTCGCATTTTTCATTACAATAGTATATTTCGCATGATTTGTTAAAAACTAAAGTACTGAAAATGATCAGTTCACTAATCATTCATAGGAAGATGATTTTTATTATTTTAAATATGTTACATGCATGGGACATCTGTCATGGACATCTACCCAAAGATTCAAAATCCTTCATGTACATTGGCTTCGTTTGATGTGATACTTGTATCTATAGTTAGATCATCTCTTATTTGACTTCATGCCACCTGACTAGCAGCTATCACAGATTCCAGACTCCGAAACCCAAGTTGGGAAGACCAACTCGAACGATTCTGATGTGTGGCCATCAAATTAGTTGTAAGAAACTGCATTTAAAACTTCTATGTTATAAGGTTATGAGACTGTATAAGTATTTAAACCAGAAGCTCATTTTAGAGTTTAGTGGTGTCAGAACTCAAAGTAACAGGAGGTTGTCAGCTCTGCATTGTAAAAATTCCACAGGCATTAGATTAAGTCGAAGTACATTCATAGATCAGTACATCCAACAGAGCGAAAAAAACTTAGTTTGTGTTCTGTAGAACACAAGTGTCTGTTCAAAGTAAGCAGGGTGGTGAGAGACTTTGGCACAATACAAGGGTATGAAACTCTTATTGTTTTCTTGTTCTTTGTGCATGTCTCTCAGTTCTGTCACAACAACAACAAAAAGGCTAAGAGAAATCCATACCTGTTCACAGTTCTCTGTGCTCCTCTCTTGCTTCTTTCAAAGTCCTCTGGTCTCTTCTGGTATTTGAGTGCTGCTTCCAAGTTGTCCAAGGTAATAAATCCGTTGAGTGTGTGTGTGTGTGTGTGTGTTGTTCCATGTATTCAACCTTGGCTTCCGCCAAAAGCAAGTTCTCTTATTGGAAGGGAGGGTCTCTGGGAAGAATCCTCATTCCTGTTGACACCATAATGTTATGTTATGAAATTACTTTTGAAATTTTTTCGTCTTGATCTTACCTGGGAAGTGCATAGCTTTACTTCAGATTGACAGTCGAAGGCTGGAACGAATTTTCAAATTGGGTCAAGCATTCATTAACTTAATAGTTCTGAAAAAAAAAAATATATATATATATACATTGTTGTATTAGATCACAACATGTTCTCTGTGCAACTAAAAGTTCGTACATAAAATGCTTTATTTTTTATCAGTGAGATATTTTTTTTCTTCTTTTTTTGCCTTTTTTTTCTTTACACTGAGAAAATAATGGTTATTTTAAAACTGTTCACAGAAAGGTTGTTCACCAAAATGGTTTTCCATAGCATTGCAGTAAAAACCTGCTTTCTTTGTGAAAATCTTTATTTTTAAGAGTATAAAGAACTACGGAGTCCTCCTAGTTCCACTTTGTCAAAAAAAAAAAAAAAAAAAAAAAAAGAATTATAACTATCTTGTGGCCTCAAGATACTAACTCGGGACCTCAAGATAGTAGCTCCTGGCCTCAAGATGGTATCTCGTAGCCTCAAGATACTAACTTGTGGCCTCAAGATGATATTTTGTGGCCTCAAAATGATAACTCGTGGCCTCAGGATGGTAACTCGTGGCCTCAAGATAATATCTCGTGGCCTCAAGATGGTATCTAGTGGCCTCAAGATGGTATCTCGTGGCCTCAAGATAGTATCTCATGGCCTCAAAATAGTCACTTGTGACCTCAAGATGATATTTTGTGGCCTCAAGATAATATCTCGTGGCCTCAAGATGGTAACTCGTGGCCTCAAGATGGTATCTCGTGGCCTCAAGATAGTAACTTATGGATAGTAACTGACACTGTAAATGCCAATAAAGAACTTTTATTTTTGAGTGAATAATCTAATCTTTTTTTTTAAAGTTGTTTTTTTATGCACAAAATATCCAGGTTGCTTGGTTATGCATGCATCTTATATGACATAACATTATGAAACAGCCTTGAAAAAATAGCCAATCATCAAATACATGACATTATTATTTATACATAATAATATTCATTTAGAAAACAATCCCCTAGGCAATTATGTTTGTGAGTTACAACCATGGAGTGGAGCACAGATTGCATTTAGGTGTTAGGAAAGATACACTCCTCTCATTTCAGCCAGATAAAATAGGCATTTGTGTTAGAACATAAATATAATCTCCTCCATAATTATCAGCATGTGTTTATGGCCACATTTTAGATGTAAAAACTATAGTGTGCATTAGTGTGTCCATGTTAGTTTGTTGATACTCATGTTTCACTGTAATCTCCTTGACATTCTGTGCGTTCAGCTCCTGTGTACTTGGGAATAAACCCAACTAATAAACCACTGAATTGCGAGTGCAAAGGCTTGGATGCTCTGAACAGCAGAACCACGTGAAGGCTGACCTGGAACACGCATGGTAAAATGTGGGAAAACATGGCTAATCCTCTTGGAGTCATGAACGACATGACTCGACGAAAGGCCACTGGGTCACAAATTTTTATTACCTTCTCATTAAACTGCACCACGGCCTTGCTGCTAAGAAGCAGGCCAAATGTGTAACATTGTCCACTGAGCAAAGTTATGTAAGAAGGTCTACAGTGAAGAAACATTTTGGATTGTTATTAGGCACTCAGTTACAAATTGTATATGTAGATGTATATAATGTAGATCCCACCCTCCAATTTTCAAAAAGAGGGAAAAAGAGAGAGAGATTGAAAACAGCAGTCAGAAAAGAGAAAGATTTTACCATCAGCCGCTGTATTAGTTTTTAGTTTTATTAATTTTTTTATGCAATGGTAATATAATAGAAAGTATAGTGTAACATTTAAAAATAATTAAGGAATTTTTGTTATGCTGGTTGAAAGCCTTCTCATATGCTGATCGCAATCACTATGTTAAGCAATCTAAATGTATTTTTATAAATATGCATCATATATTCATGATTACCTGTGTTCATGTGTTTTGTAGGAGGCGTGGCTTTGGTTGGCGATTTGCAGGGAGGGTGGTATCATATGCTTTCAATGCTAGCAGGCAAAAGTTAACATTTCCCAGATAAAATATGACTAAAATGAAATAAAATATGACTAACTTAGCAGGATTCACGAAACAACTTTGCTAAAACTGTTAACACACAGTTTCACCATCTGTGAAAAAGTTCCACAGTTTTCACATCGAACAAATGAGTTCATACTGAATCGAATGAACAATAGCTGAACACTAACTGCACTTGTCTTGTAAAGTATAATTATTTGATGACATAAAAAAAACTTTCCTTTTTTCTCTTTAATACACATCGACCTCTATGAAAGGGGGGCAATGACGTAATCCCCAGCTACTGCAGAAGGTCTGGGAACCATATCAGATTTCATTGAGCAAGGACAGTCCCTGAGGATGTGCAAAGCAACCAATCACAGTTGATTTTGTTTAGATTCATGTTTAGGTTGATGTCCCTAAAATAACAAACTGGCGTGCATTCATTCAGGAAAGGTTTGCACGTTTACTGCAACAACGTTAACTTCGCAATCACATACTTAAAAAAAAAACGGCATTTATTTAATCGAAGTGTTCATTGTTACAGTTGTAAACACGATGATAATAATCTTCAATGAGAGGGGTTTAGCGTTAAAACGGCTTTAAAACTCGACACACTTCTCCCAGAAATCCTGGAGAATTCAACCAATCAGATGACGACAGATTGAAACACCAGTAGCGTTTCCCATTTTGTGTGCCCTATGCAGGCCAGCTGACAGTCTCGCCTGGGCCCGGGACAAGATAATCTTAGATGATGGCCCCCTCCACGCCCAGATCTCTCCTTTTCCCTTGCTCTTTCTCTCCTGTTCCTCTCCTCTGCTCTTTCTCTCCCCTCCTCACCATATACTTTTAATCAAACTGAATAATAAAAACACGTTTAAATGGGTACATTTTCTATAAATGTTTTCATTTTCTTTTCTGACATACTATATATAGCCTACTGCAGTTCTTGTTAAAACACAGTAGACAAGCAAAAATCTGTGCATTTTGGGCACTTTTTGTGTGAAATCATATTTATTTATTAAGAATGAGCAGCGCAGCAAAAATAGACTCGGACCTGGCCTATTATCTGTTCACCGATGCCGACAGTGACGCATTTCAGCCGGCTTTTAATTTCTCATCTCCATAAATATGTCTAGTAGGAAAGCTAATGTAAGGGCTAGAAATCAATTAATTCTTTGCTAATACTTCCTCATCATGATGAAGAGTGCAGTTCGCACCGCTTTCTCCTTTCCACAAGCACTTGCTCTCCTGTGGCATCTGTCGTTGCTATGCAACAATGAACTTGCGAGCCTGTAAAAACGACTTGTGCTGAGCGTTAAGTTATACGTTAGCCTACTGAACTTCAAATCAAATGACAACATCAAATTTTAATCAGTGGCCAAACTTTTTTTGTTTTGGAGGTGCTATAAGAATAGGGTTCTTGTTCACTATTTCAAGCACAATTTGGAAGAAAACAAATAAAAAGTTTTTAATGTAACTCAAATATAAAAAAATGTTTCCCCACAAATATGCCTATTTTATTTTATTTTTTAACAATTATTCCATAATTTAATGAGGGCCCAGTTCTGGGTTTTTATGTACCAGCCCAGACTGTTTGCTGGCCCTATAAAAAAATCCTGGCTCCGCCACTGTCGTAACAATCATTGCGACCCATTTCACAGATGCATAATTTTATGGTAAGTTAGAACAGCCTGAACCATTTTCATTTGATTGGGACAATGCTCACTGATCAACAAACAAGTTACAAACAAGCTAGGGTTAGCTACAAGTGCTATAGTTTCCAGATGCTGTCCCTAACCAGATCTTAACAGGCACCCTAAAATACAAAAGTCAATAAAAATAGACTACAAATGTAATACATAAAGTAGAAATGCTTCTATGAACAAAATAATCTAGCCTAATTTTGCAAAGCATTGGCTTTTTAGCATTCATATACTGTAGCAACATTTGAGTTACAGACAATCTGTTTCACAGTCACATTTTGATTGTGACAGACCAAAAACCAGTGACAGACAATTGCAATACAGTGAAATAAACAACTTACTATTATCAATTACTATTAGCTAATTACTCTGAAAATGAATCATAACTTGAGCCTAGAGCTGCAGTCGTCTCACATTTGACAAAGTTCAAAGTGTGAGTGAATCATATTGTCTGTAACTCAAATGTTGCTACAGTAAATAGCCTAATATAAATGCTAGAAAGCCAATGCTTTGCACTTGGCAATTAGGCTAGATTATTTTGTTCATGGAAGCACTAATAGTACTCTATTCAACAACTTGCACCATATTATGTTAAACATGTAATATTTGCACCTTCAGTGATGCTTTGCATTTGGTTAACACGTTTCTATTTATACAATCTCTAACGGGTGAACACAGCTGGCGGCTCTGGTAGTAAATGAACAATGTTCAGAATTACAGCATCGCCATACAGACCGAATGCCACGTTGCACGACTATAATGTTCTGCATTGTTGTCTCTGTTGTATTCTGAAGTTCAAAAGGAAGTAAACTTAATGCTGCAAGAAGTATATTTTTTAATAATATATCCGTCATAGATGTAGATTTTTGCATTAAATGGCCTTATGCTTATTAGCATAAATACATTTAAAGATATTTTTGTTACTTAAGTCAAACTGTATTTTTTTAATGAATTAAAGAAATCAAATGATTTTTTGCATGAATTAATAAAAAACAGTGGCCTCAACATAAAATGCATCTTGTAATTGCATATTATTACAAGTTGCATATGGCAATGCCGTCTTGATCTTAATCCGCCTCACTTGTTAATAAATTAAACATCTGTAGGAAATGAAAAAGTCAATTATTTTTTTTTCCAGGGTGTCAATTTGTGGTGCATGTGTAAATGAGGATG